CAACATCCTCTTTTGAGGCTCAACATCCTCAACATCCTCTTGATGCCGACGGGTAGAGACACAAGGAAGTAACGGCGGCGACACAAGGAGACACTTTTGAGTTAATGAAGACAGAGGACCCGCCCTCTGCCTGTGCGTAAGGAGGGAAAAAGCGTTGAGGTGTCTCAAACACGCTCTCGGTAACATGTGATGAGGTGATTTTGAGGCTGCTCACAAGTCATATGTGGATACGATACACCCACACAGCCTCACCAGCTCCTGTGGCGTGGCACGGCGCAGCGAGAGGGAGAGGAGATGCAGGATGGGCGAGTAGTGAGGTGTGGCATCCATGACGTAGAGCAGCTGGTACAGCAGACACACGCCTGGTGGGTGGGGGGGAAGGGGTGGAGGGAGGGAGGGGAGGAAGAAGACACAAAGCTTGCATACGTTGGTAGTGTGGCGCAGCGTCCATGATGTAGAGCAGCTGGTACAGCAGACACAGACCTGGTGGTGGGGGGGAAGTGGGGGAACGTGGGGGAAACGGGAAGGAACAAGGCACAGAGCTTACAAAGGTGAGAAGTGCGGCGTGGCGTCCATCACGTAGAGCAGCTGGTGCAGCAGACACACGCCTGGTGGGTGAAGGAGGAGAGGTGGGGGGGAGAGTGAGGGGTAGCGTAAGGTTGGTGGTGAGGTGTGGTGTCCATGACGTAGAGCAGCTGGTACAACAGACACACGCCTGGTAGGGTTGAGGGGGGGAAAGGTTGAGAAAGCGGGGAGGGGGGACAAGAAACGAAAATGCACAAACATTACAACGGTGAGTAGTGCGGCATGGCGTCCATGACGTAAAGCAGCTGGTACAGCAGACACACGCCTGGTGGGGGAGGGGACAGGGAGAGCGGGAGGGGAGGAAAAAGGCAGAGAGGTTACAAAGGTTGACGACGTGATAGGCGACGTGCATTATGCACAGCAGCAGGTAGAGCCGACACAGGCCTGGGGAAGGGGGGGTGAGGGGAGACGGGGAGATCACACCAAAGACAGGGCGTGGCAGGACATGGCATGCGTGGCGTAGAGCAGACACGGGCCTGGTGAGGGGGGAAGAACAGAGAACGAGCACGCTGCGGATGAGGCAAGGGCAGCTAGTAGAGGAAGGAGGAGCGGGACAAAGAGGAATAATTAAAGTGAGTTGGCGTGGTTTGGAAGTGAGTTCTTATAAGTTGCCACCTGCAAATGAGGTGATTTTGTAGGGGCCTCATAAATCGCCCTGAAAGTTGCCACTTGCAAGTGAGGCAAGGCGTGCAATTTGTAAAGCTCTAGCCTACTCCAACTGCACCCCCTCACCTTCATATGGCGCCTGCAGCCAGGGGTAAGCCGCAGCAGCCCCCCTCACCGCCCGTCGCTGCGCCCACCGCAACACTCGCACCACCTGCCGCCACCTCCTGCTGCCCCTTGCACTGCCCCTACTCCTGCTGATACTGCCCGCACCATTCCTCCTTGCAACGTGGCCTCCCGGCACCATCTGCCCTCCGTGCCCGCCCGCTTGCTCCTCCGCTGCTCCCCCCTCCTGCTGTCCGTCCCGCCCTGCACTCGCACGTGCTGCTGCTGCCACACCTTCTTCCGCTCCCCTTCCTCCCCCTGGCGTTTCGTCCCTCAATCCATCAGTCCCCAGCCCATCATCTGACTGTTCGCGCCCATGCAGGGAACCAACAGAGTCCATGCTCCCAGGGCTGCTGCCACTCTCACTGCGCTCTTCACCTCCACTCGCCCCACCATACCCATCCCCTTGCCCATGCCCAAGACCCGAATCCCCCCCATCCCTCCCCGCACCCCACTCCCCCTCCTCCGCTCCCCCCCACCCCTCGTCCGCCCCATCTCCCCCCACCCACAGTGCGCGGGCCTGCCTCTGTCTTTGGTGGGCTGCAAACAGAGAGTGCAGCTTGGTCCGCAGGTAGGGCAGCAGCACCTGGCGTGTGGTAGAGGGTATGGGGTGTAGTTGAGTCGACTTAAAGAGCGGGCCTGCATCTGCCTTTGGCTGGTAGCAAACAGAGCATGCAGCTTGGCGTGCAGGTAGGGCAGCAGCACCTGGTATGTGGTAGAGGGTATGGGGTATATTAGTGGAGAGATGAAAGGGTCGTGGTTGCATTACAACTTATAGCAAACAGAGTGTGCAGCTTGGCGCGCGCAGGTAAGGTAGCAGCACCTGGTATGTGTTGGTTGGAGGGTATGGGGTGTAGTTGAGAGATGAACGGGTAACAAGCATCACAGCTATATGGCACGCAAAGCATGCAGATTAGCGCGCAGGTAGGGCAGGAGAAACAGGAATATAATAAAAGGTACAGGGTGTAGTAGAGAGATGAATGGGTAAGGGTGGGTATTGGTGCAACATAAATCAACCTGTAGAGCAACAGTAGAATTTACCCTCCTCACCCTAACCAGAACATACCCCCTGCATCCCCAACCGAAACCCCTTGACTCTGAATCCCAACCCTAAACGCCAACTGACCAGAAAGAGAAGAGAAAGCGCCCGCTGCTTGCGAGACATGCCATATGATGCTGACCCGCCCTCCTGTCCCCCTGCCGCCCTCTCTCCTCTGCCTGCCCCTTCCGCCCTTCCTGCTGCTGCCTCTGTCCGTAGAGCTGCTTGGCTGGGTGAAGGGCGGTGGGGAACGGTGGAGATGCGGCGAAGGCCATACATGGACTCACCGAATGAGGCGCCTGGGAAGAATAGCAGGGAGGTGACGATGGGGAAGCGGTGGGGAGAGGTGAGTGGGGAAGCGAACAATAGAGATCTGACAGTCATACGTACGGAGGGGGGAGGTAGAGAGGAAGAGTGGTATGGCGATGTGTGATACATGTGACACACTTGGTTTGGTTGGATGTGAAAGTAAGGTGTACATGTCACTACACTGTACTGTGCATATTGAGCGAGTGCCATTCGAGCAGCAGCAGCAGGTTAGAAGAAGACAACAAGAGCTCATAACGAGTACAGAGTGCAGTACCATGCGTGTTGAGAGAATGCCACTCGAGCAGCGCGACAGCAGAGAGCTCATCGCTGTGGTCCAGCACACAAGAGCTAATAACGAGTACAGAGTGCAGTACCATGCGTTTTGAGCGAGTGCCACTCCAGCAGCAGCAGCGCAGCAGCAGAGAGCTCGTCGCTGTGGTCCAGCAGGCGGTGCAGCGACGGGCGGTGCTGTGCCAATACCTGCACGCAGAGAAGAGAAGGGTTGGAAGGGGGCAAGGAAGGAGGAGATGAGTGGGGATTGATATGGCTCTTCATGCACTCGTAGCAGCAGCAGCGAGCTCGTCGCTGTGGTCGAGCAGGCGGTGCAGCGAGGGACGGTGCTGTGCCAAGACCTGTTGAGTGGTTAACAGGAAGAGGGGACAGAAGGGGGAAAGGAAGGGTGGAGGTGGGCACTGAGACAGCTCTTCAAGTCCTCATCGCAGCAGCAGAGAGCTCGTCGCTGTGGTCCAGCAGGCGGTGCAGCGAGCGACGGTGCTGTGCCAATACCTGCCAGGCAAGGTAGGGGAGGAGAGGGGACGGGAAGAGGGCAATGAAGGCAGTGTGCATGCAGCGTACTGGGAGGAATGAGGAGGGGGAGATGACGGGGTCGAGGGAATCTTCATGAGGTTTACAGGGCACGTGGAGAGATCTCATACGTCCCCCTACTCGCCCATGCTCACACAATACGACACATTCAGAAGAGAATCAGAAAATGTTATTTCTACAATTCGGATGCACGCCTGCTCCACCCGCTGGTGACGAGCCATGACCACCCGCCTCGTTCTATGCTGCTCACAACCCTACCCTTCCCATCCCCGCCGCCTTACTTTCGTCCCCGCTTCCCCTCTTCCCCTCCCCTCCCCCTTCCCGCCTCCCCAAGTGGAACTAGGTAACAACAGCTTTCCACGCACCCCTAGGGCGTATAGTGCGGCGGCTTTTAGCGAGGCGGGGAGGAAATCGGCCGCCGCCATCTCGAAGAACGTCGGCCGACTGCCCTCTGCGCCCGCCGCGTGGAACAACATCGTGCGATGTGCGGTGAGATATGCAGCGGGATGTGCGGCGAGGTGTGCGACGTGTTGGAGGTTCACGACGCGACAATAAAGAGTCTAGGAGGGAGCACCGGCGACGGTACTGAACAGGTCAACAGAAGAGGTATCTCCTACCCGTTATCTTTAGGAAAGCTGTCCGCGACTCGTGCTACGACTTGAACAGGTGCCTTTGAAATTGTTGGGGTGGTAACCATATCTCGATGCACTTCGTAAGGGTTCAAAAAGTGCAGAACGAGTCGGTCGGAGAACCAGTATGGTGCATTGCAGCTTATTTGTCTTCCAGTTCGGTTTCGCGTGGTATTCAACATTAACAGAGATTCGAAACTTTCATGAACGTTGTACCTAGCTCCACCGCGCTGAACCCACAAACCCATACAGAAAGCGTTCAAAGTCTAGGCTCCGAACCGAATTTGACCGATCCAAACCTAATATTAACCACTGCTCACACATGTCGAATTTGGGTGCTTTATAAACGAAGATGGCGGACAGCTCGAGACGTGGCTTAATAAGTGAGTCATACTCTAGTGCAGATACCGATGTGCATGCTTCCCGGCGGAAACCATGTCACTGCTGGGCTTAGTATTCTTGTAGGCAACATTCGTGCCGCGTGGCAGCATTGCGGGGCAGGCGCTTTCGGGGAGGCGAAAGTGACACGACGCATCGCGGATTACCCATGTTAGCCGACTATCGCTCCGTACTTTGCTCCATGGCCCCGCGATTTGCTCTCCTTGTTTTGCTCCTCTCCCTCCTCCCCCTCGTGCTCCCGCATTCTATCCGCCTTCCCTCTGCTCCATGCGCCGCGCGGATCGCGGCGCGGAGCCTAGAGGGGCGCGGGGCGCACCGCGTGCTGCGCACGTCGCTCCGCGTGACATGCCGCGCGGACATCCTCCGCCCACGTCATTCAGTCGATGCACACGTGGCGTGCGGAGAAACGTCCGCTACTAGAACGGGGAGTCGCGGGTTAAATGTGAATGACGGAGAGACAGAACGAGGGAGAGCGGTTAGAGGAGATGAGGAGTGGCATACAGATGGGTGCAGAGCGGTACCGGAGCAGCGAGCCGACCTCAGTAGCTGCAATACTGCTGATGAACACATGGGAAGCAGTGGGGCGGCAGGGAGGACACGTGTCACGATACGATTGGAGCAGCCTATTCCACGTGGGCTATTCGCCGATCCGTTTGAGCTGGAGAGAATCGTGCGACCAGGTGTGGGGGCTGGGGGAGCTAGTGGGCGCATGGGATGGTGAGAAGAGGGAGAGAATGGCGCAGATGGAGTGGGCAGCGCAGCTGACGCACAGCTGGAGCGAATCCTGCGACCAGGTGCGGCGGGGGTTGTTGGGCGCGTCAGGGGGGACGGAGGGAGAGAGGGGAAGTGGGGGGAGTGCGCAGTGAAGGCGGGGGAGTGTGCAGTGATGGGAGAAGGGGGAAGAGTGTGCAGTGAGGGGGTGCTGTTGGTGCTGATTATTATTCTGCTTTTGCCTTGAACCTCACCTTTCTGCCTCGTCTCCCTCCTGCCCTCCCTCCCTCCCTCCCTCCCTCTCACCCCTTCTCCCACTCCCCTCCTCCCCCCGTTGCTCCCCGTCCTCCCTCCCTCCCCTCCGAGCCAGCGGGCGACCGAGCCTGGGTGGTAGGTCCGGTGGAGCTGGAGCAGCCGGCACCACGCTGTGAAGCAACAGTGGCACTGATGGAAAGGGATGTGGCATTGGGAGAGGGGGAGCGGAAGGGGGAGGGGGAAATCGCAGGGGGGAAAGTGAAGAAGGGGGAGGGTGCAGGGGACGAGGAGGGGCGGGGGGAGGGGGAATGGGATATGCGAGTGGGGGAAGATGAGGTTGCTTTCTCATTGGAGTTCAGCCTACCTCTGCACTCCCGATACCCGGTAAACCATGCTCGATGCCCTCATACACCCAGCCATGTGTTCCTACTGCCATCCAGGTCAATACCGTTTATCTGCATGTCTGGTAGTGGAACCCCCTTCTGTTGTCACTCTCACCCCCTCACAATCTTTGATACCAGTCTGCTTTGTACACACTGTGAAGCACTTATTGTTTTCAGAGGACACACGTGTTTATAACGTTTTGCAAATCGTGTATTGGAATTTGACTAATGATCCACATCTACTATCTCTCTGTCCTTTTCCTCCTCCCACCATTCTCCCCACCACTTTCTTCCAGGCCGTGCAGCCAGCTCTCTCCCCCCCACTCTCCCCTCTCTCCCTCCTCCGCTCCGCCTCTCACTCACTCCTTCCCCTTGCCTCCCTCCCATGGGACCTGCAACCACTTAAAGCCGCCCTTCACAGCAACCATTCCACTCTCTCCTCTCTCTCACGGGCCATCACCGGCATCTGCAGCCAATCACACGCAGCGGTTTATGTGCCCTTGCCTTCCGCATGCCTCTTGCTCCCTCCTCCCCCCACCTGCGCGGGACCATCCGCCCTGCACCCATCAACACCATCCTCCTCAGCACCAGCGTCGCCATCACCATCAGCATCCACACCATCATCTGAATTACCATCCCCACCATCCTCAGCACCACATTCGCCCTCATCAGCATCAGAATCACCAGCACCAACATCAGCAGCAGTATGTGATGCCGTCACCACACCCCGCTGTGAGTGCCTTCCCATGCGGCTCAGTTGGTCATCACAACCAGCACCTGCAGACGGAAAAACGGACCTGTCGGCGGGAGCAGCAGGGCTGGGAGGAGACTCGGAGGGCGCCGAAGCAGCAGCAGCAGAGGGAAGACGCGACGAGGAGCGGGGGGAGGAGGGGGAGGAAGGGGCGTTGCTGTGGGAGGTGCCGGCGGGGTGTGCTGCCCACACGCCCGTGGTGCTGTGGGGTACGTCCCTAGCTGCTGCTGTGGGGGCTCTGGTGCTTGTTGCCGTGGCTGCTGCTGCTCCAACGCACACAGGAGGCACCAAGGCCAGCAGTTGAGGCATGAAACAAGTGTAGCGGCGTCTCATGTATACTTCACTGCTTCAGTGCACATTGGAGCTATCAAGGTCTGGATATGAGGTGTGAAAAGGCAGGAATGAGAGGATTAGACGAGCAAAGCATTCGCTGCTGCGGCTGTGGGGACGCTGGTGCTATTGTAGTTGCTGTGGCTGCTCCAATGCAGAGAGGAGGAACGAAGATGCAGCATGTGGAACAGGGTAATAGAGCATAGTTGTCCTCCACTTGCTCAATCTATCATGCTCAGCATAGAGCAGGCTGCATTTGTGTCGAATGAGTCCATGCAAGTTGTTTAAGCTCACAAGTGGGTGTTTAGGGTGCGCATGAAGACAGAATGTGTCACACAGTGAGTACCAAGGCTGTTGTTGCCTTTGATTGGACAGTCAATGCTCTTGAATCACCGGTAACCACTACAGAACCTTCAAAACACAGCATTTTCTTTAACAAGCATTTATTTATTATATAAATGAGGCTAATACAAGATAAGCAAGCACCTAACTGACGTGTCAAGGTATGCTCATGCCAACCATTAGAAGTGCCCTGACCAGAGCCATCCCTCTGGGAGCGCACTGGACCAGAGCCATCCCGTTGGGAGCACCGGACTAGAGCCATCCCTCTGGGAACGCACCGGACCAGAGCCATCCCTCTGGGAGCGCACCGGACCGGAGCCATCCCTTAGGGAGCGCACCGGACCAGAGCCATCCCTCTGGGAGCGCACCGGACCCATGCCATCCCTCTGGGAGCGCACAGGACCAGAGCCATCCCTCTGGGAGCGCACCGGACCAGAGCCATCCCTTAGGGAGCGCACCGGACCCATGCCATCCCTCTGGGAGTGCACCGGGCCAGAGCCATCCCTCTGGGATCGCACCGGACCAGAGCCATCCCTTCGGGAGCGCCACGGGCCTGAGCCATCCCTTGGGTGCCCACTGGGCTTGATGCCAACCTGAAGGAGCACACAGAAAGCACAACCACAGCTGAATGGCAGCAGATGATCATCCTTCCAACCCCCACCAATTCCCAACCCACTCTCCCGAACACCCTGACAAGCAGGGTGCAAAAAAGGGACCCACCATCATCCCACTTCCCCAACCTCCAACCATCTCCCCGCTGCTGCAATCTGCTCGAGGCTCTGCTCTTGTGTACTCCACCTTCATCCCGCCGGAGTATTCCTTTGGTGCTTCTCAGCCTTTTTTGAAACGTTAGCCTTTTTTTTTAACCAGGAGGAAATCAGGTCCCCGTTCCCACGGGGATCCTCTGGGAGGTTCCCCAAGGAACTTTCTCATGTGACTCGGGTGCAGTGTTGGTAGATCAGCTCAGCACGTAGGAAGTTGAAGCTTGCAGCGAGTCACAGCAGCGCTTACGGCCGCCACGGACGACGTGAGCTCGCAGCCAGCACCACCTTGGACGACGGTGCAGCACGAACCTTCTTCACTGCAGCCGCGGGAATTGCAACACTTTTGTCGTCAGGCTGCTTCGCGCCATTTGAACTCCTTCTGCTTCGCACCTGCCTCTCAGCTGCAGCAGGCCGTGGAATCAACGTCGTCCCCTCCACGCGGCTTTTCACGATCGATCTCTGGCCGCTTGGTTTGGGGATGCGAGACGGCACCAGGTGTGGCGTAGGTACTGAGCTTGTCGTTGCCTTCCCCAAGCCAGATGCTACGGCCGTCAGGGAATCTTCAGCCGGCGGTAGCGATGATGCAGATTGCAACGTCACCGATTCCGACAACACCGACTCGCATGTCAATGGTTCTGAGGTAGCTGGCTCCGAAATTTCCGGTTCTGACGTCATTGAATAGGACATCATTGGTTCCGACGTCACAGCCGGTACATACGCCACCGGATCTGGAGATGACGAAGCGGATGCGGTCGGATCCCATGTCGGGGAGTCGTGCGTCAGCGATGCAGCAGCGTCGACCAGACATGCTTCACTGCGGCTGGCGTCGCCGAAGCTCTCAGTGTTGGTGTCAGCGCAGGAGAGCACCACGTCGCTGGCCTCGCTGCAGCAGGGCGTCAGGCTGGGGCTGCTAACCTGGCGGAGTTTGCTCGCGTTGGAGGAGCTCCGAGGCTGCAGCGATGGTTGCGTCGGCTTATTGCTATCGAGGCACTTCCAGAAGCTAAAAGCGTTGTTGAATTACGACGGGTAGTCAGACTCTGAGGCCATAGTGCGGATTCTTCACGAGATTAGCAAACGTTGAGAGTTGATATGTATGCTAGAACTGATGCGCAAGCTAGGATGATTGCATAAATGCTGTGTGTGCAGATTTGTAGGTTGTATTGTCGAGTAGGGGAATGGAGGGGGTGGAGGTGAAAAGGTTCCTCTGGCTTGTCGGGAAGGAGGGCTGCTCAGGCTCGGAAGCAGGGTTTGTCAGGCTCGGGAGCGAGATTGGCGCGAGGTGTTCTCGAGACCCCGACCTGCCGAATTCTGTGCTCATCTGCCCACGCAAAAATAATGTGGCTGCCCGTGTTCGAAATCTGGGCTTGCGCTGCTGCCACAGACTCCTTGCTGGAATCCAGCGCTCGAGCATGTCGGGTTACTGCCCACAAGCATTTTGAAGGCTTCCCTGAACAATGTTTGAACGAACCGGAAAACATTTTTTGACCGCGCTGTGCCAAGGCGGGCTCGGCGAAAATTGAGCTTGCAATGAGCGACAACCTCGGGGGAAGCCAGTCAACACCAGTGTTTGACTGGGAATGCTGGTGAACCATACTCACGACCTTTCTACATCTGAATACCGTAGTGGATTTCCCTAAAACATGTAACCCCGATAGCTTCGCGTATGAAGCTTGACATGAACTTTGATGCCGAGCCTCCCCTCGCTACTGCGCGAAGGCCAAAATCATGTAGAGGCTTTGGATTAGTGCTACTACACTTTTCAGGATATTTGAACAAGTGTATGTGATGTGATGGATGGAGTGGGTGATGCTAACTAGCAACCATTATTGCATTTCACTATCAATGGAATGAATGTGTGGATTGGGTTCAACTAGGATTGGAACACCTGCATACATACCTACGTATATAGAGAACCATACCCTATTCCATATACCGTAGCATACAGAAATCAGATCAGAGTTCCAACACATCGCTAGAGAGTAGGCTACAGTGACAAAACTGTTGGAAACAATGGAACTTAAACGCTTCAGCAGTGTCAAAACATTGCACCAGAAGCGAGGCAACCTACACCGAAGCACCTGCGAGTCAACCCTCGGAGGTTGAATCGGCTGCAGGAAGTTACGCGAAAGTCAAAGGTCGCTGACCCTTGACCTGACAAGAACAGCGCGACAGTTAAGGACACACAACTGACTCGTTACAGAGCAGTTGCCCGAGTCGCACTGTATCGAACCGCAACAGCAATAGTAAAAGTAGTTATAACCGTATCTCTTCATATTCCCTGTATTATTATATAAGCTTGTATCCTTTCACTATAATTTAAATCTACTTTGCTCTCACACACTAGTGCAAGGTCGGTTCACAAAGCTTCATTAAACGCTTCCGCTATTACAATGTATCCTACCCAGAGTTATCCTCTGTAAAGATCCTTAGGGCCTTTTTCAGCCCAACATGGTATGAGAGCGTACAGGGGAAACTCTACCTTTTCAAGATCATTACAAGACATGGCAACAAACAAGGAAAGGAGCTCCCCTAATGGCTCCTCGGGCACTACTCCTACTCCACCGCCAGCCTCTGGCCTGCAGACAGAGGAAGGCACGGCAGCAAGACCAAGGGGAACGTCAACCGAGACCCCCACGAACCATCCTTCTGACTTTAGGGCGTATTCCTATCCTCCTATCAAGAAAACCTCCTATCAAGCTCTCACTGGAAAATTCCCTAAACCCAAAATCTCTCGCTACTTTTACCAGGCAAAAGGTACAATCTTGATAGGAGGTTTCTTGATAGGAGGCCGTAGGAATACGCCCTTAATCAGAGCATGATGGAGAAATTCTTCTCCTTCATGTCCTTCTACGAGCAACACCAGCAGTCGGGACCTGCACAGACACACAACAGCAACAACGGAGCGACACCCATGAGCCTTGATGGGTCGTCATATGCGCGAGGGAATCAACAGCAGCAACCCACCTTCGCCCCGTACGAGCGCGGGTCGATCAGCTTCCTGCCTCAACCTCCACCTGCGCAAGACAAACCAATGAACGCATTACAAGTTCAGTCGCAATTCGCGCATGTCTTGAAACTGCAAACATCAAGACCTTTTGACGGAAAGGACTTCTTCACCTGGTCCTTTGAATTCGAGCTAATGATGGAGGGCGCGCAGATACTCGGTTTCTTCGACGGATCCCTGCAGTATCCAGCAAACGGCACACAGTATGAGAAGCAGCAGTATACGTATCAATCGATGATGGCGTATACTATTCTACTGAGAAACATCACACCAACTCAGCAGCAGAACATTCGCTCTTACCGGACCTTCGGCAACTCGGCGGAACTCGCGTATGGCCATCTGAAGAACCTGTATCAAGCAACAGATAGTGTAAACCAGAGCAGGTTAATGGCGCAGTTGACAACAGTTGAAATGAAACCAGGAGAAAAGGGGTTGGCGTATATCAGCCGATGTCGCGAATTGCGCGACAAGCTTCTTCGATGCGGAGGATTAATCTCTGAAGACGCCTTCGTAACAGTCATCATCGGTGGCCTCGGTCCTCAGTGGCGCGCCACCAAAGCAATTCTTCGAGCCCACGGAAGAATTTCTGAAGCAGCACTCTGCGCCGAAATACACGCCGAGCAGCAGGACATGGATCTGCAAGAAGAACGACACAAACGAAAGACGACAACGTCAGAATTCGCTTTCCATACTCAGCGACGACACAACAACTACAACAACCGACAGCAGCAGCCGAAGCCAGTACCTCCGTTTTGTCACATCTGCAAGACATCAGGGCACCCACGCACGCACTGCCCGAATCGACACTCGTTAACTGCCTTGCAGCGGCAACTACGACCTTCAAGCAGTCAAGTGACTTCAACACAGGCGAACCCGACGACTCAGGTCCAAGCCTCAACTTCACCGGGACAACCTGCACAAGGAGCAAGAAACATCATCAGCTGCATGGCAAGACTGAGCGAATCCTGCATCACCGAGTCACCGCCACATTACTCACCAGAAGACCATCTCGATAACACCACACCTCGCCGCGAAGCACTCAAACCAAATCCAACGTACGCCGCCATCGCCCAAAGCGAGCCTTCAGGGACAGACACGTGGTTCTTGGACAGCTGTTGCGGACAGCACATGTGCTCTTCAGGACGCTTCGTACAACAAGAATACCAGCTTCAACGGGAAGTCGTCATAACCGTCGCCAACAACCAGAACCTGCGCACACGACGGCAAGGAATCGTACAACTTCAGTCGCGAGAGACAAACGTCATACTACAGATGTCAAAGGTTTTAATTGCAGAAGGCCTCGGCTACAACTTACTGAGTGTCAGTCAGCTGATGGCGAAAGGTATTCACCTCGAAGCAGACAGCACCATCCAGGAGTTCAAGTTGTATCATGGGAGAGGAGGTCTCTACATCGGGAAGGCGGTCCTCAAGAACAACGTCTTCGTCTTGGACTTCGTTCCCGATCTTGGCACCGCCGACAGTGACGCCATAGTTAACTTCACCAACTGGACACACCCTCCGGACCTTGACCCTGACTTCAGTCCGGGCGGCTTCTGGTATTCGTATACCATCCCTGAGACAGAGCGAACAAGGGCATTAGCAACAACATCGGCAGCAGCAGAGACAACATCGGGAGCAGCAGGAACAACATCGGCAGCAGCAGAGACAACAACGGCACCAACAACAACACCAGTCGCTGGTCCTTCAACGGCACCAGTCCTCGTTGACGACGCATCACCGACACATGCACAACAGTTTCAGCCAGCACCACGAGAGTTTCATCACAGCCCCAATTTCACCACCAGCTTCTACTCCAACTCGGATCTGTA